ATGTTTTTTCTCTTTGAATAGACCACACTTAAAAGAATCATGTAGTACTGTTTCTTCACTGATTCTGAATGATGCTATTCACTTAGTTGTAAACATCTTGAGAGTGTGAGTGTTGATCTGTTCTTCGTCCACACCGTTAACAATAAATTTTTCAATGATTCTTAAACCTTATCCAGTTTCCATCGTCCGCATTATTTTTTTAATAGATTTTTCCTCATCAATCTCTACATTTATATCAGCTTTCGACTGAATCACAAATATCGATTTACGTTTGATTGATAAATCACGTTCGTATACTACATTCTTACAGTTTCTTTTAATCTGTTCTTGCCAGGTCGAATTTATTCTAATGGCATACAACAATAATAGCGAATTATCAAGACATCAAGAGCGCTTCAGTGATGTGGCTAATGAGCCCATGCGAATGCTTCCACTTATTGCAGGCTTTCGAGATAAACCTCTGGTTTCTCTGAAGAAAGCCGTTATGCCGCTGCTCAGTCTCGTAGATAAAGTAGACGAGTATGCATCGGAAGTTAATATAGAATAACGAAGATGGATGAGAGTATAAGAAAGTATTGTGTTCGTCATTTATCTTCATCCATAGCAATCCTACATTCTATGAAGAATTTAAACACAATTTGCCAAGATTTATATTCATTATTAAAGTAGTTTTTTTTTAAATGACAATATACATCACAATATTAATCAAGAAAGAAAAAGAATAGATTTTGATTAAATAATATAGTCAAATACAAACAATCACGTAGAATTCAAACATTACAAAAAACTAAACATCAATACAAACAAATCAGTTCCATACAAAAATCTTCTATTTTGATTAACACATTAACATCGATATCCACATACATTTAGTGTCTTTGTGACAGTTGCATTCTATTATTGACAGATTCTTGTTGTAATCGAAGGCGATTTTTGAATAACTGAAATAGTTCATTACGAAATCCTTTACTTGATAAAATAAACATATAGAAACTTGTACATGGAACAAACAGACTTATAAAACCAGATATGCTCAATAACATATTATATTTTGCTGTTTGAAGAGCATTTGATTTCGTACTTGAATCAAATGTGAGATAAATATTAATAATTGAGTAAGGCAATGTTGTAACGAGATACATTATACATTGACCAAACATCATCTGTGTCAACTGTCGATCTGTTGTTTTTCTATATCTTTCTGGTTGAGTTTGATTGTCAACAATTCCAATTCTTCTAACTGATTTACGAATATTTCGAATAGTTAACATACCAAAGAGAAACATCGAAATCGATGGGCCTATGCTGTATATGATGAAGAGCCAGATGCTTGCAAATGTTTGATAGACACCTTGCAACGTATAGCATAGACCAAGCTGAGATACGATATAGTTGTTAATGAGTATATGTATGTAACATAGACTGCCTATGAAAGTGGAGGTTAAAATAGTACGAATAGACACACGACGATTACTCCATGCACGTAATGTGGTTGATGAGGAGCTGCATAAAAATCTGTAGAATATAAAATGAATTTTGTAATAAATAAAGAACATTTCATAGTATAGAATTAAATGCGAAATCTTGTCTATCTTATTCATTTATACAAAAATTGTTCTAACACATTAATAGGATATGTCATAAGATAGTTTTTCTGAGTGATGATTTTATATACCCATGGAGTATTTGATATTTTATGATTTGTCTCATCAAGAAGTGCATTTTAAATGGGATGAGAGTTATAGTTTAACATACTAATATTTATTATATTACTTCACATATAACAGAAATTTATCTACAAGAAAAAAGAATACTAATGAAAGACTGAAAAGACATGATATACACGAGAGAAAAATGTTGAATTATAAATAATTAATCTTAAGAATTGTTCTTATGGAAGATGAAACTTCCGAATCTTTAAAAAATATGAACTGTTGGAATTCGAAAGATATTTTTTATTCAATTATAATAATATTTACCGATCAATACAAGCAAGAACAATATACCATGATGTCTGTCCTCTAGAAAGAAACAAAAAATAAATTCATCTTCTGGAATAATATTCATTACCTTGCTAAATTCAGTATGTATGTAATAGTTTTACATGATGCATTTGAGTATGTAGTAAAATCAATATGATAACTATATTGAAGAATACGTATAGGGTTAGTAATGCAAACAACACATAAACCACTGATTGTTGATGCTAAAAAATAATATGAACATGGATTTGAACGAAGTTTTGAACGTGTGAGCACACAAATGCTCAACATATGTCCGATCAAACCAAGGCTAGTCGTAGAATAACCCCAAACCTGGACAAATATATTTTGTATCTGTACCATATTATTAATTTGAGCAGT